AGCCTCGCCGACGTGCCCCACTCTGTTAAGCTAGCAGGCGCATGCACCGGAGCTTCAACCCGCCCGGCTGCCCGCAGACGAGAGTCAGCAGAACGACGCGCACACTGTACGCCGATGACACGACACTTTCAGTTTCTGTTTTTAAAAAGCCCCCTGTTATGGTGAACCATTTAGGTTCTAAAAATATTCCGCAGCCATTTCCTTCATACCACTGCGCTAAATTCTGCTCTGGACACAAGGACGAGCGCGGTGGCGGGCAGGGATGAGGCGAGGCCGCCATCAGCACCGGTGATGTCGCTTTGGGTGACGAGGACGGCCGCTCTTCATGCCCCGGCACTCAGTCATGGAAGAGCAGGAAGAGGCCAGCAGATTTCACACAGCTGCAGACAGATGTAGCCAGACATAATGGGGGTTGGAGGCAGGGAGGAGGAGGAGGAGGAGATGGGGCGGTGGGGGGGCGCATACTCATGGTCACAGCTGCAACCTCGCCAGAGGATCGGAGGCGCGCTTCTGATGAAGGGCTGTAATCAAGTCGCTCAGGCTAACCCTCCTACACCCAGAGAGGCTGACTTGCCTCTCTCATGACAGAGGGGGGTTTAGTGTGCTGCAAGAGGAAAACAATGAGAGGGAGAAAGAAAGCTCGCATGACGCGGTTAACAACCAATCTGTTCTGCGTCTCACGTATCGGTATGGCGTGTTGTAAACATGTTGAGCCAGATGTCTTTGAATCATCAGTCTTTGAATGTACGCTATATTTTCATCGGGAAAGCTGCAACGTGGAGCAGCTTGGTCCGAATGAATGAACAGGTCACTGGGGGGGCCTCTGTTGACTTCCTCCCCTTCCAGACAGCATTTCAGCAGACCAAGGTTGTGACTCAGGTCTGCAGCGGCTGCCAGGTTCCGACGATCCATTTCACATTTCACCCTGTGACCCCTCTCGTCGTCAGTGGAGCAAATACACAATTTCCATCAAATCAAGAAGTGAATGAGGATGTAGGAGACCCCACCAGAAGAAGGCTGAGGGACCTGCGCACGCAGTCCTCATGGGTGATTCCTTTCAACTACGTCAACCGGGGATTAATCCTGTTACCAAATGTCTGTACTGGTTCCCGCTCTCTTACTGGTTCCCTGAAACTGTGACCCAGCAGCCCTGCAAGAGGGTTCGTCGTCTTTTGATATCATTAAAAGCTGTGTGCGTTAACACATCTGCTAGCATAGGAGAGGTGGGGGGGTCCTTGTCATCTGAGACAGCATTCGTATATTAGACATGCTAAACCAGATCACTGGGGAACATTAAGCCTGACAGCAGCGCTTTAATATTTGATGCACTCTGCTACCGCGGCATAACCCACCAAACAGCTGTAGCGTGGGCTAAACTGACAATTCTCATACGTTTTTTTTCTTTAAGAAGTGAGGCTTCCATCACATGGAAGAAGAGAAAAGTTCAGCGCTTCCAGCGAGGAAGATGTTGGGACGGATTAGTCAGCGGGGAGAAGAAATGCACGTCTTGCACCGTTGACCCAGATGCGAAAAACAAAAACCTGCCAACGCTGTTGTTGTTTTTTTTGTTCTCCGCTGGCATCGAGGATTCCAACATTTGGAAAGTATCGCAGCTGTGCAGAGATCACACGCGGGTGGTGAACGCCTCACAGGGTCGGTGGAGAGCCGTATATGAGCCTACAGGTGGGCCCGGCGCTGCGCAGGTAAACTTGTAGCCTTAAGAGTCACAGAATGTCATTGCAGCAAGACACTGTTTTAGGTGCCAGTCTAAAGAGGTCCAGGTTCTGTCCGGCCCAGAAGCCCGACCGTGCGCCTTCTGCTTGTTCCTCAATTAGACGAGTGAAGATCCGACTGAGAGTGACAAGAGATTGCGTGAGGCGCTGCAGCACATTTGAAGAGCTGTGGAGCCGGAGCTAAAAACAGGCACACAGAGGTCACATACACACGGCCGCCACCATCGCCCGTTTCACTGACTGCGTCACACGGATTAACGGGCGTGGCCTTCAGCGCATACGGAGGACGTGTGGGCCGTTACCTGCAGAAACAAGACGCGCCTGTGAATGAATGTAATAATGAAAACACTCCCAACAGGACCATTCACTCATCGGGGGTCAAAGGTTAGGGTCAGCAACGGAACAAACGTTAGCCGGGTTCAAGCAGGACGGGGAGGGGGGGGGGGGGGGTCGTGAAGTGCCGCGCCTTATCAGTTAATGATGGAGCAGTAGTGAGAAAGAGCCGCTCTGCCGATCAATGGGCCTTCTATGCTCACGGCCCGCAGAGAAAAACTATCGCTGCAGCGCATCCTGTGTCAACAGGCCAACTGGCTACGTGGGTGGTGAAAAGAAGGGTTTCTTTGGAAAATCGCGGCGCCTCACGTTCATAGTGAACGCTGCGTCAGAGCCCGCTGCATAGCCGACAGACTTAAGAGTCTTTCTTAGCCACGCGGCAGCATTTTGGATACTCGATGCGCTGTTGGTCTGAATCTGGTCACTACGTCGTACGCCCTGAGAGTCAATATACTGCGTTTCGTGATGCAGTATTGATTCTGAAAAACCCCAAATCAGGCTATTTTCATTATCTTCTCTGCCTAAAGGATCACATGACTGGTCACATGTTTGCAGCTCTATGTCTGTCAGTAGCTAAAGTTTCTGCAGTACAAGACCAAGACCATTTGTATCTGCTGGTCTTATAAAGGTAGGACTTGAGGCTCCACAGTATGAAAGATTACATATTTAACCCGAGGCTTTTTACATTTTGCCCGGGGTGCAATTAGAGGTTAGGTGTCTTGCTCAGGGACACTTTCGACATGGAACATGAGGCAGTCGGGACTCGAACCACCAACCTTGTGCTTCCCAGCACACCCGCTCTACCCCCCTGCGCCACGACGACCCCACGACATGGAGAGAATCGGTGATGATGAAAAAAAAAGGGGTTTTAAATGCTGACACCATTCAACTAGCTAGAGTGACATAATCCCGCTTGTAAACATTAATCATTTAGATATGACATTCTTCAGATGGCTCATTGTCAGAAGTCTGCCTTCAGTCTAATCTTGAACCCGATTTAAACACACGCCCCCGTGTGCAAATCAAATGGTTGCCCGCCTATCATGGCCTCTGTGTGACCATGTCTGCCTGTGGTTACCAAAGGCCAAATTAACATGCAAGGTAATTGATAACAAATGCAATAATCAACAATAATCAATAAACTGACCATGTTACGTTTCACAGCATCGACTATAAAACACGTGGCTGAACTCCCTCGGGTCCAGATGTACCAGAAATTTGATGACCTGCGTATAATCTGCCCGAAGCGTCTGACACAGAGAACAGATCCAACAGCCCGGATGGGTAGAACATTTACCTGAGAACAGCCAGGTCAAAGTAAAAGAATCACACACATTGAACTGCAGATACGATCGCTAATAAGGAAGTGTTTCCTCTCTTGGTCAATAGTTGGCTAATGCGTCTCCAAGATTTGGGTGATGTGAAGAACGGACAGGACTCCTACAACAATGCTGTGCACCTCCAATGAAGAGGATGTCTGCTGCAGGACTGAAGTATTCTAAAGCATTGAAACCGTTGACTGGCGACATCGTGGCAGGAAGGAACGTAAAGAGAGAAGTTCTCTTACACAGTCTTTCTTTACTCAGCATTAATGCCAGACAAGCAAACTCAATTCTGCCAAAGCAAAAGCGTGTAAAATGCGTTTTTCGGCGCCCTGCTCTGCAGCTCTGAGCTGAGGAGTAGAAAATCAATCCAGACTATTAATCCATTTGAATGGCAGTGAAAAGGTGCAATGTCATATTATGGGATCTAAAGAGGTTGATCCGTGCTTGTGAACGCGTGGGCAGGCTTCTTCAAATAAATCTTTACAAGTGACACAGTTTGAGCAGTGAAACGCAGGTCTGCCGTCTCGCGCGCACACACACACACACACACACACACACACAAACACACACACACTCACACACTCACACACACACACACACACACACACACACGATGACATCATGTTGGGTCAGCTTGGGTTTTAGTGCTCAGCTTGCCTCGTACATCTGCCATTTCGAGCGCGTCATGTTCGCCTGCATCCACTTGGAAAGCTGGTTATTTAACCAAGCACCGTCCCGCTGCACGCAGGAGGACTTGCATTAAATATATAAATAACTAAAACACCATGCATGACGTGCAACTGTTGTCTTTGCGCTAAATGCACGTAAGAAGATGCCGGATTGATTAACACGTGCGGTGGTGGGGTCTCGTGTGTCTCCACGGAGAGACATCGAGCCTCGATAGTAAAACCTCACTCACAACAACGTACGATGCAACGGACGGTACCACGACCCGTTCTTTGTTATTATTATTGTGTGTAGGACGCGACGGCCTCGCGCAGACACACTCGCGCCGCATGACAACGCTGCATATTATATTTAATACGATTAAAAAACACGCAGGACAAGTTGACGTCTGCGCGTCGTTGGACCGTAGACTTCATTGCAGCCCGCGTACGCCCCCTGAAGGAACGAACCAAACCCGCGTCTGCCCCGGCAGTCAGCAGCGTAATGCCCCCCCCCCCCCACCGGGGGTTTTGTATTTTCCTTTTTTTAAGCAGGTGCACAAACACACAACGCACACGCACCAATCAGCGTGCACGCGCTCAGCTCAACTGCTTTGATACAAAAAAAAAAAAAAAAAAAGCAGCAAAAACTACGCACTTAAAGAAGCTCCGTGGAGCCGAGGCTGGGTGTCGGTACTCACGGTTCTCCGGTGAGACCGCAAGCCGAGCCACGGCGGAGCCAGGCGGTCATATCTTAACTTCAGGTGCCCCCCCCCCCAGGTGCGCCCCTTCCCCTGCCGCTCAGCGCGCTCGAGCCTCGGAAGCGTTTCGCCGTTGAGACGAGAGGAAGTGCCGTTAACCGTTAACGGTCACAGACCGGTGACAAGCGACACAAACAACCGGGGAGAGAAGCAGAAGAAGAAGAAGAAGCAGCAGCAGCTCACCGTCTTCACCGTTCCGTCGTCGTTCCGCGGGGACGGGAGTCGTCGCGCTGCCTCCGCGGGGAGCTTTAGTCCGGTCTCTGACTTTGCGAAGTGCCGTCAGTTGGAGCGGACTTCCTGAATGACGGAGCGCGAGCGCGCACAGCCGCTCGCTCGGGTCCGACAGCTGCGCGCTGACAGGCGGCCGGAAATAAAGTTGTCTCTCGGAGGGACGCGCGCGCGCTCCGCCCGGGCGTTCGTACAGAATAAATACCAAGTGTTTCTTTTGGCATTTTCTTTTCTGCCAATATTGCTTGACCTAAATAAAATGTTTAAAAAAACAAAATGTAAATATATGTAGAGATGGCGTTGGGTGTTTAAATAGCAAGCGCTGATGTAAACAAATACTACACCTTATTTCCTTTGCAAATCATTAAAGCTGCATGGACCGATTCTGCTGCAACTTCACTGATCAATCAGCTCGTGTCTTGAGTTTCCTCAGTGCGAGGCTGCCATCTGCTGCTGCTATTATGAAGTAAACGGTAACGCTTTCAAAAGCAATGTTTTGAATGATCTTCAGCACAGCATTTATTAAGAACACATGACTTCCAAAAAATAAGCGTGTATCTGGAATTAATGGCGAAAATCATACATTTGAGGAGCGTCATTGAGTTTAAGAAAAACAGTTTTATTTTCTAATTCAAATATATAGGACATTGTTTGTGACATTTAACAACACATGATTACATAATATTCATATTCAAAACATTTGAATATTTTAAATGTGTCCAACATTTATATAATACAATTGCTCAGTTGAATAAGTCAAAACACTTAAGTCTGGTCTCATAAATAAAAAAATTCCAACTCAACTGTGGAAGAAATAAAGCAGCTGAGCCGGAAAAGAATTGACCAAACCTTTGTTCTATACAAGTTATATTTTCTCAGTAATGTGATCTATGGATTGTACCTGCCTGAAATAGGCTGCAAGGGTGAACAGTATCGTTGCTTTGTTTCAAAATTGAATGTTGTTGTGCCCATTTTCATTTAATCTGTGTTTGCTCATAAATCCACGATGCCAACTCAGTTTCTCACATGTCTCTGCAACACAATAAAACAGAGCCAAATCTAAAAGACCACCTCAGGATTGGCAAGAATCTGCAAATGGCTGGTGTTGAAAACGTAGTGATCACATAGTGCATCCGGAAAGTATTCACAGCGCTTCACTTTTTCCACATTTTCTTATGTTACAGCCTCATGAAAACTGTTTTTTACAAGTTTTTTGCAAGTTTTGTTAAAAATAAAGAACGAAAACATAACATGCACATAAGTATTCACAGCCTTTGCCATGACACTCAAAATTCAGCTCAGGTGCATCCTGTTTCCACTGATCATCCTTGAGATGTTTCTCCAACTTGATTGCGGTCCACCTGTGCTAAATTCAGTTTATTGGACGTGATTGAGAAAGGCACACACCTGCAAGGCATCACAGCTGCACATCAGAGCATAAACCAAGCAATGAAGTCCAAGGAATTATCTGTAGACCTCCGAGACTGATCTGGCGAAGAGTACAGAAAGATTTCTGCAGCATTGAAAGTCCCAATGAGCACAGTGGCCTCCATCATCCGGAAATGGAAGAAGTTTGGAAGCACCAGGACTCTTCCTAGAGTCGGCCGCCCAGCCAGACTGAGCGATCGGGGGAGAAGGGCCTTAGTCAGGTAGGTGACCAGGAACCCGATGGTCACTCTGACAGAGCTCCAGCGTTGTTCTATGAAGAGGAGAACCATCTCTGCAGCACTCCACAAATCAGGCCTGTTTGGTAGAGTGGCCAGACGGAAGCCACTCCTCAGTAAAAAGCACACTACAGCCCGCCTGAAGGACTGTCAGACCATGAGAAACAAAGATTGAACTCTTTGGCCTGAATGCCAAGCGTCATGTCTGGAGGAAACCAGGCACTGCTCATCACCTGGCCAATACCATCCCTACAGTGAAGCATGGTGGAGGCAGCATCGTGCTGTGGGGATGTTTTTCAGCGGGAGGAACTGGGAGACTAGTCAGGATTGAGGGAAAGATGAATGCAGCGATGTACAGAGACCTCCTCGATGAAAACATGCTCCAAAGCGCTCTGGACCTCAGACTGGGGCGACGGTTCATCTTCCAACAGGACAACGACCCGAAGCACACAGCCAAGATAACAAAGGAGTGGCTTCGGCACAACTCTGTGAATGTCCTTGAGTGGCCCAGCCAGAGCCCTGACTTGAACCCGATTTAACATCTCTGGAGAGATCTGAAAATGGCTGTGCACCGACGCTCCCCATCCAACCTGATGGAACTTGAGAGGTTCTGCAAAGAAGAATTGGAGAAACTGCCCAGAAATAAGTGTGCCACGTTTGTGGAATCATACCCAAGAAGACTTGAGGCTGTAATTGCTGCCAAAGGTGCTTCAACAAAGTATTGAGCAAATGCTGTGAATACTTATGTACATGTTATGTTTTCGTTCTTCATTTTTAACAGATTTTCAAAAAACAGTTTTCACTTTGTCATTATGGGTTGTTGTGTGTAGAATGTTGAGGAAAACAATGAACATAACAATGTGGAAAAAGTGAAGCGCTGTGAATACTTTCCAGATGCACTGTATGACTTTCAATCATTACAACCAAGGGTGTAGGTTTGGTCTCCACATTGGTAGGGACACCACCAGCCCCCCCTCCCACCATATAAAATAACGTAGTTGATATTATGCTGAACAGGCAAACTTATATTATTATATATTAACATTTCAGTAACTTGTCACTGATTGAAACATAATAACATTGATAAACGAAAAAAGACATTTATAAAACATTGTGTTTTAAAGTATTTTTTAGTAGATAAATATTCATATTAATTTCAAAACGTTTATTTAAAATAAAAAAATCTCCCTCACTCAAATCTAGTATAAATATAATATCACCACCTGTTGGTGATCAAAGGAAATGTCAGCTGCTTACACAATATAAAGGAGAGAAAGTGAAACTTAAAGCTGATTTGCTTCGACGTTGCTGAACGGAGAACAGAGACGCATCACAGGGTGAGAAATCTCTACTAAACAAGATCACAACTATCGAGATCTGTAATTCAGAGTCAGATTTGATCATTCAGAGCAAATGGCTGAAAAGATCGTTCTTTTTGAAAGTTACCTGAGCTGCCATGTTTGTTCAGAGACGTTCAGAGATCCCGTGTCTCTGAGCTGCAGCCACAGCTTCTGTTCAAGCTGCCTGCAGCGATTCTGGGAACAAGCTGGAAACAAGAACTGTCCCATCTGTAAAAGAAAATCCTCTAAAGATTATAGTATAGTGAATTTTTCACTAAAGGCACTGGCCGACTCGTTTGCTGTCTGTGAGTTCTCTCTCCACCAGAGTCACAAGCTGGTTCCTCTAGAACAAGCAGTCAGGAACCTGAAGGACCAGCTGAGATCTGACTTGGAGTCTCTGCAGGACAAGAGGGACAAACACCAACAAGTGAAGAAAACATACAATGAAGTGATCCAACTCTCCAAGAAGCAGCTGGTGTCCACAGAGAGGAAGATCAGAGCAGAGTTCAACAAGCTCCACCAGTTCCTGAGAGAGGAAGAGGAGTCCAGACTGGCAGCTCTGAGGGAGGAAGAGGAGCAGAAGGGGAAGAGCATCAGCAGAGAGATGAAGATGATTGAGGAGCAGATCTCCTCTCTGTCAGACAGCATCTCTGCCGTTGAAGAAGACCTGCAGAAAGACAAGGTGTCGTTCCTCAGCAGTTATAAAGCCACTCAGACCAGAGCCAGAGTCCAGAGCTCACTGACAGATCCACAGCTGGTCTCAGGAGCGCTGATAGATGTGGCCAAACACCTGGGCAACCTGTCCTTCAGAGTCTGGGAGAAGATGAAGGACCAGGTCCACTTCAGTCCTGTCATTCTGGACCCAAACACTGCAAACTACTTTCTCTCTCTGTCTGATGATCTGACCAGTGTGAGATGTGGAGACACAAAGCAGCAGCTTCCTGATAATCCAGAGAGATTCACTAAGTATGCAGATGTTCTGGGCTCTGAGGGCTTCAGCTCAGGGAAACACAGCTGGGAGGTGGAGGTGGGAGACCATCCTTACTGGCTTGTAGGTTTGGTTAAAGAGTCAGTTGACAGGAAGGGAGAGATGGGTGCTTTACCAGACAATGGAATCTGGTGTTTATTCTATCGCAGTGGAACATACACTAATGGAATCTGTCAGACTGTCAGAGTGAAGAAGAGACTCCAGAGGATCAGAGTCCAGCTGGACTACGACAGGGGGGACGTGTCCTTCTACAACCCTGAAGACACGACTCTCATCTATACTCACAGAGACACTTTCACTGAGAAACTCTTCCCATATTTTTATATTGGAAGGTCTGGTGCCAAAACTGCTGATATCAAAATCTGTCAAACTGATGTTTCTCTGTCATGTTCAGTGAAGGTGGTGAAGTCAAAGTGATTCATCAGCATGTTTATTATAGTTTGTTGTTGTGTTCTGAAAATATTTTTAAATTAAAGAATGAAAAACTAAAGTATAAATAAGCAGAACTATGTGTGCGAGGGATACTGTTTAAATAGTGTTTTTGGTGTAAATATTCAGACAAGTACATACAAGTAGATTTAATGTGATCATTTTGTTTTTAAATGTATAAATACTTTTTTCTAAAGAACAACAACATTAAGTTTGCATTAAAAGGCTTTAGTTTATAATCACGTCCACACATGAAGCCTCATCTTACCTCATTTATCTTTAACATTAAACAAGTTCTTCATTGTGTTTTATAGTGAACTGTTCTGTTTCATGAATAAATGGTTCGGTTCCTTCAGGTGTTTTATTTGCAGACCGTGAGGCAGAATAATGTTAAATTCATATCTTTCTGATCAAATGTTTAACATATACAATTAATGTGGAGGGATAATTTCATTCTATTTACTCCAACAACACAAAACAAAGTACACATTTTGGTTGCAGACTGTTTTCATCACCATGTCTATTTCTGATCCTTCAGAACATTTCTATCCATCTCAGGGTTCAATCCAGGGGACAATCACAAGTGAATCCACCTCTTGATAAAATGCTTCATTTATTCATTTATATATTTATTATTTAACTATCTCCGAAATTAAATAAGAAAATATAATCAGAATTATTAATCGCTTATTTTTTGTCTAACTAGTATCCTGAGTTCTGCTAAATAAAATACTTTATTCTCATTCACACCTTTCTGTTCCATTCCTCATCCTGTGTTCCTCTCATTGTTTAATTCTGGGTTTGTGTTGGTTGATGAGATGTAGAAGTACGTACAAGAGGTGAAGGACACTGTGCACCAACACTGGTGAGCTGCAGCTACATATTAGTGTCTATTCCTGATGAAGACAAGATCATCAGTCTTTAACTAACTTTAATTCTTAGGGCAAAAAGTTGTGTAGAATAAATGCTCTGACTTTGAGTGCACCAAACGTGTGTGTAGAGTAAAGGCTTAAGTCAAAGAAACGGCTTCGTCTTTGTGCCAAGAAACAAACTGAAGACTCTCAGTGTCGACTGTGTTTATAAGTGAACACGTTCTGTGACTCAGAACAATAAATAAAACAGGTTTCTGCACCTGAACGCCTGAAAGGAATTTCCCTGAAGAACAGGTTTGGAGTTTTGGTTTGGAGTTAAAAACATCTGAAAGAATGTATTAACGAGTGTGTTTGCTTCACCAGGTTAAAAGAAAAAGAAAAAAGGGGAAATAAGAAAGAAAATAAGAAACAATTGAAAATGTTACAAAGTTATAAATTAGATTTGAAAGTGTGGCTGGATAAAGCTTATAATAGAAAAACAAATTAAAATGAATAAAACTGGTTTTGAAATGATGCCTAAAGTTGGAACTGTTAATACTAATACTACTACTAAAGTTGGAACTGTTACGTGACGTTTTTGGATTAATATCTCTGCTTCATTAATGTGCAGCATTTCACTGTTATAGATGTTGACACTTGTGTTAATTTAAACTATTTTATATCTTGTTGAGCAATTTTTAGCAATCACGTATCTCTAAAAAGTCTAAATTTCACAAGCTCAGAAAAACTGCCGATTTTCAGCTTTGTGTTTTTTTAAAGTTGAACCAAGAAGCTTTTCAAACTGTTTATTTTGCATCACAGGGAGAAATGTTTTATCATCAGTTCATCTTCCATCCGACACATTCCAAGAATACTTCCTTCATCACGTCGGGTCGGACAGGACGAGGTACTCAGATCACATGATGGGAACTTTGTGCTGGTCTAGAACAGACGTTTACTTTAGGCCACAGCTCCTCTAGAACCACACAGAGTCCAACTCTCGCTCCAGAGAGACCAATGAAAATCTGGTGACAAATTTCTCAGAGAATGCAGAAGGCACAAGTTTCTGAAACTGCCGGTCGTCGTATTTCTGACCGCAAAGACATACAAAGGATTCATGAGGATGGTAATAGTACTATTACTAGTACTATTACTAATAGTATTAGTAATGCTACAACTGATATCACTGCCACCAACACTACTACTGGTGTTTCTACTGCAAATAATACTAAAATGCATTTACATTTATTACATTTTTTTAAATAAATTCTAGCTTTCAGCAGGAAATGCATTTGAATTTGAGCCCTTTTTAAATTACCACAACTTTGAGTTGATAACTTTCTCAACATACTTTCACCTGAAATCCTTCAAATGTATAAATAATTCACTCGAATAAAATAAAGAAATGTAGTAATTAAACTTTAATTCACCAAATGTTACTGTTTTTTTCAGTTGTATCTGTATGAGCACGTTTGAAAAGCATAACATTCTGATAAAATGTGACACTGAATAACAAACCAAACCAAAAGAAGATTCTATTGTGCAATAATATGTTGAAGATTTTAGTCAATCAGCAAATCCTCAATTTTAGAACAGGTGTGTAGAGCAGCCAGTTATCTGCAGGTGTTTGATACTGTGTCCTCCCTCATTTCAAACATGTGAATCTTATTTTATTTTAATACTTTCAAGGATTGAAACACACAAGAAGAACAACACCTTTGGACAGTACAACACCTTCAGGTAGCTTTTAACCATTTACTGTCAACTAGACATCAACACTGTTGCTGGATGAGACACGTGATGGCGAATTTTCAGTGTGTTACTCATTTTACAATATGACTCGTCTTCCTGTTTGTGATGTCAGACTTCTCTGTGTTTAGACCCTTTCAACTCACCTGAAACAAGACTAAAGTTTTAGGACAACACGTTTCAAACAAGATGATTAAATTTCAGATGTAGTTAGGGGGGGCCTCTCAAGTTCATTAGCACATCTGTGTTGATAAATTGTTTCTTTTTTGACAACAGGAAGGAGATGAACGGGGGAGCAGATGTTTGACCGTTTTATTGTTAACCAGGTGTCTTGGTCCCGTTTTCTGTCCTTTATGAGCAATGCAGATCCTGCAGTCTCGGCTCGTCCTCCTGCAGACTGCAGTCTTCTGACCTAAGAGACAAAAAGTCGTCCAGAATAAATGCTCTGACATTGAGTGCACCAAAATGTGTGTGTAGAGTAAAGGTTTGAGTCAAAGAAACGCCTTCGTCTTTGTGCCAAGAAATGAACTAAAGTCTCAGCGACGACTGAGTTTAAAAGTGAACACTGCATGTCACTCGATATGTGTGCACAAGGAAATGAAAAACCGGTTTCTGCAACTGAAAGCCCGAAAGTCATTCTCCCGAAGAACAGGTTTGGTGAGGTGAGTTAAAAACATCTGAATGAATGTATTGACGAATGTGTTTGCTTCACCAGGTTAAAAGAAAAAAGGGGAATTAGAAAGAATAATAAAATGATAAGTTAAAAATGTTAAAAGAAATGAAACTGCAGATGGATAAAGCTTAAAATAAACTAAATATAAAGAATAAAAGAGTGTAAAATGATGGCTAAAGTGTAAACAATGAGGAAGGAACAGACAAAGCTCAGAATTCTTCTTCTCTATTTCTCAATGCAGGGGATGAATCCTGATCTGATGTCCTCCAAGTCATGTGATCCACCACCTGATCCAGCAGCACAGCAGCTCCAGCGTCCTGATGGACGACCACACAAAGACAGGGGTGCAATTATGACTCAGGGTTCATACACATTGTGAACAATAGATATCCATGACTTTTCAAGGAATTTTCTATGACTGTAAACAAAATCAGGAATCTGGAAAATTTACATCACCAAACATTTAGTGAAACCTCGGTAAATGAAAAAGTGAGAGAAAATGTAGTATACTTACAATGAGGATTCCAAAGCACACACAGAGTTTACACCATCATTCAATGAGGCATCAATGAGGTCAGTTTTTAACGTTTAATGGGGATGAGTATCATTTTGTGTTTTTCCTACTGGTGCAAAAACTTGCTTTGAAAACACACCGGTGCCTGAACTGATTTTCCTTTTTGTTGTAAAAACACAAAACGCTGATTGACGACATTAAAGAAAGTTTTTTCTAATCTATAACAATATATGAACTTAACAGTTTACAGTATGCTTCATTGGAACAATATTATATTTATTAAGTTAGCTCTTTGCTGCGTACATTGAAGCCTAAATAAAAAGTTTGAAACGATCTCCTGTCATTCACCTTTAATTAAGTCACTGTGTCGGGGGCGGTTAGTTGTTGCGCGGTGCTGTGTGTGTGTGTGTGTGTGTGTGTGTGTGTGTGTGTGTGTGTGTGCGTGTGTGTGTGTGTGTGTGTGTGTGTGTGTGTGGGTGGGTCCGAAGCGGCCGCACGTGACACTAGTCCTGTTCGCCCTGTTCCGCATGTTGATGCAGGTGATAAATGGCGGTAAAGCTGATGACGCAGGCAGGAAGCCCCTCCCCCCGCCAGTCATCCAGACCGTCCCATTTGAGAGGCTACGGAGGCTGCTGGACAGGAGGCTTGGACCGGGAGATGGCAGTGGGATATGAGGGGCCGTTTAGGACTTAACCACCGAGACACTCTCACGTACTAATGAAACACTCGTGCACATCTCACTGGTGTTCGTGAGTGAAATCTCAGTTACACCGGAAGGCGGAAGCAAAGAGGGCGGGTTTTGAACAGCGAACAGCGCCAATCTAACGTCCTTCCATAATATGCTTTTAAGTCTGGACTCGCCGTCTTTATGTAGGTCCAAGGTTATAAATACTACCATATTTAAGTGATGGAATGTAATTTTAGGACTTTTTCAGACTGGAAGTTAGTTGTTTAAGCAACATTTCTGCGGTCGGTTTATCAACATTCAGCCTTTGTTATTGCATGTGACAGTTTCTCAGCCCTCACACGGGATAGGATCTGGTAGATCAGCTATCAGGGCCGATATCATGAATGAAATATTCCTCATAATGTACAGGATGGAAATGAGAGACGTAGTTACACAATTGATCTGGGTTCCAGCTCATGTTGGTGTGGAGGGGAATGAACAGGTAGGTATTCTGGCCAAACAAACACCTAGAATTAAGAATATATGTTTACAAGTTCCATTAAGTAAAACTGAGGCTAAGCAATTTATCAGAACGTATGCACATACAGTATGGCAGGATAATCGGGAAACTGGAAGGTATCTGTACACGATACACAAACATGGAGAAACGTTGTATGGAAGAGAACGGAAGGGAACGTCATCACTCGACTGAGTATTGGACATACAGGTCTTAACCCTACATTACATAGAATATGCTAACACCCAACTGGAAAATGCTCATATTGCCATCAACCAGAAACTGTTGAACATATAGTTACAATGCAGAATTTCGTTGTCCAGAGGAATCATCTTTTTCAGTCACTAAGGCAAAACATCAGGGTTGATCATTGTCAGGTCTATTGTGGAATCGAGCAGATAAAATATATTGTTAAATTATTCAGATTTTGAGAGAAACGGATCTAGTTAAACAAATCTAGAACTTTCCCTATTATTCGTTTATTTTAATTTTATTTACCTATTTACCTATTTTGGTTCTGCATGAAGCCCAAAGACATGCACTGGGGATCAGGTTAATTGGGGAATCTAAATTTCCCGTAGGTGTGTGAATGGTTGTGTGTCTCTGTGTTAGCCCTGCGATAGACTGGCGACCATTCTAGGGACGATGGATAAACTCCCGCGTAACACTCCAGTCCAGATGGTGGCGGTAATGCACCTCGAAGATGGTTTTGCCGACCGGGCCAATTGTGGCCCTCGGGATGATATTTTGTGCCCCCCCCCTTAATATGAAAGTTT